TATCTGTATCTGTATCTGTATCTGTATCTGTATCTGTATCTGTATCTGTATCTGTATCTGTATCTGTATCTGTATCTGTATCTGTATCTGTATCTGTATCTGTATCTGTATCTGTATCTGTATCTGTATCTGTATCTGTATCTGTATCTGTATCTGTATCTGTATCTGTATCTGTATCTGTATCTGTATCTGTATCTGTATCTGTATCTGTATCTGTATCTGTATCTGTATCTGTATTTGTATCCGTATCTGTATCTTTTTATTGCTTTCACAGTCTAAGCAAGAGGTTAAGGCTGGGTGCTGGGGGCGTGGCTGTATGCATCGATTGGTTGGTGTATGAAGCGTATTAAGTATAATGACAGCGTCAAACACACGACACACGTCGCGACTGACATGCAGCTACTAGTTTCAACTACATCCATACATGTATTATGAATACATTCGTCGCTATTGTAGATACATTTGTCTGTTAACGCTGAATATGACAACTGAGACAATAAAAAAGGAACAATAGATGCATTTAGTCGCTATTGGTCGCAATTTGAAATACTCTATAATTGCATTGGTTTTCCATTTTGGTAATTCCTTATATAAATATATTTTTTAAATAAAGAATTCTTAAATAAAATATTATATAGCTATAATAGAGGTAATGTATATAATTCTGTGGCATGGGTTATATACAATAGATACTTAAGCTTATTATGTGCAGCTGTGGATTATCGATGCCTTAGACTGTATTATTAAGACGTTTCTTAACTGCTGAACGCACTGCATATTCAATACTTTATAGGATAGCCAATATTTATGATATATACTCATATACATGCAATATAATATGACACATAGTTACTTGACATACATAAGGACATTCCGCATTAACCTTCTAGCTGTGTCTCTTTAATCGATCGATCTCTGTAATCGATATTTTTACTTTGAGGTCCTCTCTTTTCAAGCATCTTTGTTGTTGCAAATTCGCTCTCCGAGATTTTCAATATGTGAACACCTGATACATAGGTGTTTCAAAGAAAGACAAGAGAGAAAAAGACAAAGAGAAAGTGTGAGAGGAAGTATGAAAATATAAGCAATAGCTATATATAATAAAATATATAGAATTTGTTCAACTTTTATAGAGTATAATCCAGTCCAATACAATAAACTAAAGAACTCCATTACTGTTTTATAGTTCTTTTTTTTTTTTTTTTTTTTTTTTTTTTTTGTGTAGTTTTTTGCTTTTGATTTGGTTTTGGTGGTGTCCACGTTGACGTCCGCAGTTCGCTTATCTCGCGCAATTGATCGCTTTGACTGGGCTGTGTTGTGGTTGTTTTTGTTGTTGTTATCGTTGTTGCTCGCGGCCATTGTTTGCATTCTTTGTGTGGTTGTTGTGTCTAAAATGACATAGTGCTACTGCTGCTACTGCTGTTAGTTGTTTGTTTGTTTGCTTTGCCACAAAGGCCGCCATTTTGAGCTGCAGTGAGTTGTCGCAAATGGCAATTAATAATTGCAGCTACTTAGCAGCCAGCCCAACGGCGCGTGTGTGTGTGTGTGTGTGAGTGTAGCGCATATCTGACAAAGGTAAACATTTGTTTATTGTCGCTGGCAGCCATTAAATGTGCACTTTGTGTATCCTTTATGGCTTTGGCTTGTTTTTGCTTACTTATTTATTTTTATTTTTTAATGCTGTTTGCCTAATAATTATATTTAATTGATATACACACAAACTGTTTGTGTTCATGACTGTGTGTGAGTGTGTTTTATTTTTTTCCTAGGCGCCTCTTTAACTCTTTTTGCTGCTTTAACATTTTTGTCTGTTTGTTGCGCTAATGTCGTCAGCCTTTGACTGCGGCCCGATAGTGATCCGATTGAGGGGATCGAGGGGCCGCACGATGAGCCACTTAATTGGCAAATTATAGCGCTTGTCTAGATCTGCATCGCCAGCCATCAACTTTGACATTGATGCGTTCGGGCAGCTGCCCTGCACCCCAGCCCAGAGCCAGCGCGGAGCCAAAGAGATATGATATTGAAACAAAAAGTCGCGCGCGTAATGAGAAACTTGTTATAGGAAATTAGGCTGGGAAGGGGCATAGCTGACACTCCGGAGCACATTAAGTGCTTGCGGCAAAAAGTTATACAAACACATAATTCCTCAAAACAACTGAGGACTTCGACCAAGACTCTGACTCGTACACAGACTGCATAGTCTGCCTCTTCGTCTGTCTGCCCGTCTATCTGGCTGTCTGTGTAAGGGATCGTCGTGGAAATTGATATGCGAAGACGACAAGCGAAATGCTGCGACTGCGACCTGGACCTGGACTGGGTAATGCCAAAAGGCACCTGCAACCGTCCAGTCTCCCGAGTCGAGTCAAGTCAAGTCGAGTCGAGTCGAAGTCGAAGCGTAAATTGATAAGCTGCAAGTGCTGGATGGCTGTTGCCTTGTTGCAGCGGCAGCATGCAAAGGGTGAGTGGGCAGCTGTTGCAGTTGCAGTTGCAGTTGCACTAAGCAAAACCAAACACATATATAATTATGTATGTATATATCTTTCCATTAATAGCATGCTTAAGTGTAAGATATCTCTGCTCTGATGTGCTTTAAATAAAATTAATTCATGTGCAGAAATGATAAGCTAAATGAATATTTGGGTAATAGAAAAGACTTCAGAATTTCTTCAAGTGTATTTCATACCAGTTGGCTTATTAGTGGCTGCGATTGACATTGGCTTTGCCATTTGCCTTCTGTTTTGCTCTGCCGTCTGCTCAGCGGGAATTCGCGCATGCGCAGCTCCCAGGCTCTGTCCAATCCCAATAGCCAATGGCCAATACCCAATAGTCAATACTCAATACCCAATAGCCAATGCCCAGTACTCCACTCACAAGCCCGGAACAAGACTCCCTTCGACTAGACGAGAGCCGAGAGATAAACATATTTGGCTGCAACTTGGCAAAACCTGCACGCAATTGTAATTGCCTTCAGTCCGATTCTGCTTCGCACACCTTTTATTCCTCATTTCGCAGCCGTTGTCAGAGCCTAAACACTGAGAAGAATTTTTGTAAATTCATATTTAAAAATCGTTAAAGGACTATTAGATTTACCATATATGTACATATATACAATTTATTATGTAAACATGGCTGTAGTTACAACAACAAATTCCAGGAACAATAATAAACAATCATATTAACGAATTATGTTCAATTAACTGATTACAGTTCGCATATTTAGCGCTCCTATGCATAGGCTTATATTTATATGTGGTAAATACTTTTTATCACAGTTGATCCCATTAACTGTATTATACAACTCGCACAGAACAATTCAGGTTAAAGAACTAAACATGAATTAAATACTTTTTAATTTTTTTAAAATATATTTTTAATTCTTATTTTGTAAAACATAATATTTTAATAAAATTCTTTCTTTCCTTAGTTAAAATAATTAAACTAAATTCTTACACCTTACTTTAATATTGATTTATACTCATTTACAAATATGAAAATTACTTCAATTTCATTAATAATTAATTTGTTAACATTGGTTCATTATTATTAAAATTAGGTGGAAATGATCTTTCATTTTCAATGGGTTCAGGGTATAAAAGTAACACATGCATATTTTATATCGAATCCGAAAGATATAAAGTTTATGGAATGATTCTTGATTTCTGATAGCTTTATATTTCAATTAAAGTTAATATGAATCTAAATTATTTTATAATAAATTAATTCATTATAATATTGATTCATATTATTATATTCTAAATTAAATCAATATCAATCAATCAATCAATAGTCTTAATTTTTTTATTAAACAATTATTGTGAAATTAAAAAACATAAAATTACAGTGCTATATATTATGCATCTTTAATTCAGCAGCTGTTTATATATACCTCTTATAATTACATATATATGAGATTTGATTGTATCGGCATTAAAAAGCGAGTCCCAAGAGTTTCTTTTCAATCATTCGTTATTCATTATTTTAAGCATTCGAAGCTTATAGCAAACAAACCTCTACTAAATGAACTCTCAAAATATCGTAAAAAAATTTCAAATTGTATATGAACTTAATTAATTATTGCAAATTATTAATGTATTAAACAAAGGGTAACAATTAAAAGAATTAAACTTTTCTCCATAGAGAGCATCTATTTTTGCTCTGTGTATTTTTATTTGAGATCGAGAAAGAGAGAGAGAGTTAACATGCGCTCTCTCTCTCCGTCCCACTTATTGGCTGAGCCATCTGTTACGAGTGTCTGCGGTTACATGTGGACATATGGCGGCATATTAGTTGCTGCTGCTGCTGATCCTGCTCCGTTCACCAGCTTGGCCGCGGGTGCTCTGCTCCCTTGAGTGCAGACATTTTGGTTTTTCACTTTTGTCTGTTCCGAGAATTGTGTCTTGTAGTTGTCGACGTCAGGGTGACATAAATAAATCATTCAGATAAGTGGCAACGCCACATATGCTGTCTTATGATTTCTGTTCTTTGTTGTTCTCTTTTTTTATTTAACAGCTGGCAGTTAAAAATAAGCTTTTTCACTTATTTGAATTGTTCGCATAAAATGTTTTTGAACGCAGTCGATGCAGAATGCTCGCTCGATAAGCGACTCGCCGATGCTTCCAAAATGATAACCAGCAATAAAGTCCCAGCTTAAAATGTTCGAAAAAAAACTTTTAATTACAGCATAATGAATTACTGCACACACACACACACAAACCCACACACACACAACACACTGCGGCAAGCAAATGCTACAATGCTACAGAGAGAGTCAGCAATACTCGCTATGTCTGTGTGTGCGCGCAAGTGTTGGTAAGTACACGCCCCGTTTACTTTGAGCACAAAGTCAAGTAGCGAACGGCTTGCGTTAGAAAGAGATGAAGCACACGCTTCCATAATTGGCTGTTGCAATTGGTACTTTCCAGGCGCGCGCACGTAGCGACACACTGGGAATGAAACGAGCAATGTTTGCTCGCTCGACTTCGCTCGCACACAGTAGCGCTCGCTTGATGATCGCGTTGCCAGGACGACTGGAAAGCGAAAACCCACAGCAAACGGCAGAGCGCAGTGGCGTGTGCCAAATTCCAAAACGTTTCAACCAGGACTGGTTTTTTCCAATTTCGTTTTCAGTTCTTGTTGGATTCTCAAAGCGTCGACGTGGCCGCGCAGTCACCGAGCCACACGAGAGTCGTCGCTCGCGTAATACCAAAAACCAAAGACAACAAAACAAAAAGAATAGAAACACAAAAATTAGAAAAGAATATTTTTTCGGCAACGTCAACGCCGTCGGCACTTTACAGTTGCTTGGTGAGAGAGAGCGTGCTCACGTGAGAGGGAGAACAGTGCGCAGCCTGTTTCATTTCAGGCGTCGTCAACGTTTTCAGCTCTGAGCTTAGACCGCGCATTCACGTATTCATTCGTTTCTGCCGCTCGCGTGCAGTCGCTGTCGCTGCTAACTGTGCTAACGGTGCTCGCCGCCGTCGCCGTCGTCGTCGTCGTCGTCGTCGTCAACGCCAACGCCAAAGCCAGCGTCTCAGCGCCTGGCGCCTCGTCCGGAGATCAGTGCCAGTGTTGAAAAGGCGCGTGCCTCAACGCAAGTGAAAAAGTGTGCAAAAAAAAAAACAACTGCAATTTTGAAAAAAAAAAAAGAAGAAAAACAAAGGATAAATCAAATGTGAATAAGAAAATTCGCAAATTTAAATTCCGATTTCCGGCATACGCTTTCCTGTCTGTCACGCGATACCCTACAAATTCAAATTCAAGTCTGCCTGCGTGTCGGCTGACATAGTTCACCCACTCACCCGCACACGCAACCAGCAATAACGGGGCTTTGCATAGACAAGACAAGTGCAAGTGCAGAGTGCTGCCAATTTTGCTTTTTACCGGCGGTGCGGTCATTCACATTGCTTCGCCTCACTTCTAAATGTCATTCTGACAGCTCTGGCGACGCCTCTGTCGCCGCTGTCGCCTCTGCCGCTAGCGACGCCTCCGCAGTGAGCTTTGAAAATGATTTGCGTGCCGTTCTTGCGTTTGGCCTGCTGATTTGTTGCATGCGTCGTTGGCGTCGTCATCGAGCGTCAACACCAACATCGCTTAACTAAACCAACCAACCAACCTACAACAACAACAACAACAATAATGCCAATGCGTGCAAGTGAAAAGCAAAAGTGTTACAATTAAAAATAAAATAAAAACAAAAAAAGAAATTAAAATCAATTTTACAACACTGCAAATCGAACTTCTACTTTTAAGCATTTGCGCCGCAGATTGAATTTCTTTCAAAAATAATTGTGAAAAATATTGTTGCTAACATTTCAATATATTTATAAAATATTAAATAAATCTCTAACTATATAATTTAATTTGCAAACTTTCATTTTTATTTACTATATTAACATTTGTAATCATATTAATATTATATAAGCAAATTTTAATATTAAATAAAAATCGAATGCAATTTAATTAAATATTAAAATATGAAGTAAAATTCAAGATAAATTTGTAATTTTTCACATTATTTGAAAGTCTTTTGCAAATGTCTGGGAACAGTTTAAACAATTTAATTTTCCATATTTCTAGCTAATTTTTTAATTAACGAAAAAGAAGAAGAGGTGGAAGGAGAAGAAGTGCAATATTAAAGAAACAAAAATTTAATGCAAATAAACAAAATGTGAGACGTAATGTTGAAACAAAGTCAAAGGCAAAAACGAATTCAAAACAGTTGCCGCAGCAGCTGAGATCCTGCAGCAGCAGCAGCAGCAGCAGGAGTCCAGCTGAATCAAAAACCAATTACAAACTTGCAACAGCGTTGCAAAGAGTGTGAGTGTGTGTTAAGACAAAATAAATTTAAAGAAACATAATCAAGTAGAAACGGAGCAACAAAAACCATTCACAACGGCGACCATCACGAACTCCGCCCTTGCAATGAGCCAATTGGGCACCGTCTACGCCACCAAGCGAAGGCGACGCAACGGCAAAAGGTGAGTTGACTGAGCTGGGGCATGCCCCAGCAATCGGGGGCAGCGCAACCGCAGGGCTCCCTGCGAGATTTCAATCAATGAAGCTGAAAGATTTCAATCAACCGTTGCAAAGTCAATGCGAGTTTTTCCTCTCCTTCATCAATCTGCGGCTTGTTGGGCCAAGCAACTGATAAATGATGATGCCACAAACAGTGCCTCTGTGCTACTGGTCTTGCTTTCCTATATGCCACAACTGAGAGGGGTAGCTGCACTTTCTCAACCAAAATGTGACCTGTGAGGCTATGTTGCCAGTTACTAAAATTGTTAGCTGAAATGGGAAAAATCTATTTTGAAATGTGCTCAAAGTGTTGTTCTAGACAGGCAAGACTAACTAATACCATGACTAAATTCTGATTGAATCGCGTATGAGGGCGAAAATAATCCAAAATAAAATAAAAATATACATATATAAAATATATTTGCTATCTAGCGAAATAAAATGTGACGTTGATATACACATTGATTCGCGTTAAATTTGTCAAATTTCTCTTCTAATTGCTATGAAATTTATTCAAATAATTGAATATCTTTATCGTTGTGAATCGATTTCATGAAAAATAGTATAGTTCCAAATCACTGAACTGAGGCTCTCATTGTCTTTGACACGGACAGACAGAACGTAGGAAAATATTGATAGATCTGATTCTGATCAAATTATATATATATATATATATATATATATATCGTTAGACTCCTGTCTGGCTTCTCAATGAGTTAAATTAACCAAAATACCAACAACTTTTTGTAAGTGTTGTGAATATTTATATTCTATAATAAAAATTAAAAGTATAGAAAATATTTTAAAATGCATTATTATTATTATTATTATTATTAATGTATAATTTTTTTGTCTTGAAATAATTACACCAAGGTTCTAAGTTCTACAAAATTGAACACTAGTCATATATAAAAAATAATTATACAACACTTAGATATTACCCTTTATGTCCGTCTCTGTATAATCTGTAGCTAAACTTATTTCTGTACTTTTAAAATCAATTTTGATATTATTATAGATATACAAAAAGTTTTTACATGAAATATTTTAAATTGGTAAAATGTTTCTTCTTCTAAAAATTAGGATTCTTATTTTCAATATATTCTGATCAAATGAAATTGAAATGAGTTAATCTCTGTGCTGTCTTACACTGCGTATACGCAATGCGTCTTCAACTTAGTATTTAATATGGAAATTATGAATATTATGCATGTCGGCAGAGTTGCGTGAAATTACAGTAGTACCTCCTTAGAACGCACACGGGGTGGCCCTATTTGCTGCTGCTGCCTCTTCACCCGTTCCAACTCTTCCAGCATTTAACTTTATGCTTTACACTCTTTGCCCTATTGCCGCCTTATCGCTGGGGCGCAAATCGGCTCTTCCCCCTCCCTTCCCAAGAACGCATATAATTTCTGATAATTTTGTGTACTTAACTTGTAAACACAACAACAGCAGCAGCAGAAAAAAAAAATAATAAAATAAAAGATGCAAAAATTGCTGCAGTAGCTGTTGCTGTTGCTGTTGCTGCTGCTGTTGCTACTGCTGCCAAGACACGCCCCCAACTGCGCACTATAATTGCGCCCCACCTGATCAGCAGCGGGAGAGCAACAGCGGTCGAGTCCAAAGATAGCGACAAAGTTATTAATTTTTTGTTGCCTACATATCTCTATCTCTCTCTCTATATCCCTGCCTCTCTTTTGCTTTTGTTTCTTTATTGTTATACCCTATGTGTTATGCCCTAACCACGGATATATAGATATCATCTACACTGCGTGTTATCAAGAACATAGAACAAGCTTCACATTCTCCAAAGTAAACTCCGATTTATTCTTCTTCAAATAAAATACAATTTGACTCTAAATTATTTAAGTAAATATTTGTTTGAGAGTATGCGAAAATTCGGTCAGCAGAATTAACTTTAAATTCAATGATTTCTTTTTCTATACCATTTTTTTTTAATTATTATTTAATGATAAATTAAATAATAATAATATATATTAAATATTTAAATGTATTAAATAATTTTTCTTTAACAGTACTTTTAAAATTTAATAATTATAATGTATATACTTAATATTGTTATTTAATATATATTCCTATTATTATATAATTTTTTTAATAGTATAACTTTTTGTCAGAGTATTTCACCTTCGCCTTCTTGCTACCCTTTCCACTTAATTTCTTTTTTTATAATTTTATTATTACTGTGCAGCCATCGACAGGCAGCGCGCATAATTTGCAGCGCTTGTGGTGGGCTTAAAAAACAATTACTTCTCGCCAAAATGGCCCCCTCTTCACCGTGCAGCCCCCTCTTCAGTCCTTCTGGAGTACTCGAATAGGCCTGCCTCCTCCTCAACTCGCTCTCTCTCTTTCTCACTGTCTTACTCACCCGAGTCATGGTGTGTTGAACTGGCTGGCGCGTTGCTCGCTCGACTGACGCAAAATTGTCACCTTGCCATGCACACCTGCAATTAAGTGGCAGTGCGGCCAGGTGAAGTGCCAGTGACCCTCCTGTCGCCTGCCCTATCATACCCTACCCTGCGTCGTCCTCTTCAGAATTTCTGCTTTTAATGAAACGATCAAAATGTGTCTGGCCAAACAACTTAAGCGCTCTTTTAATTGCGATCCTTGCAAGCCATCAAGCCAAGCAAGGCAAACAAGCCAAGACAAACATTTCACATACGCCGCATGGTGCGTAATTCACCAGTGTTGAAAAATCTTCGCATTGCATTTATATTAGAGACTTAATTTTAATGTAATTCCCTGTAACAAGAAACCAGTGTTGCAGCGCGGTTAAAATTGTATGCATATAAAAAGATCAAGAACCATATATCCATTATCTCACGGGCTTTTACGTAATTATTGAAAGTCTGAGAGTTGTACTTGGCGACTCTATAGAAACATTTTTATATATCAGAAAATGCGATTACAATCGCATAAAACCTAACTGTTTTATTTATTTACTAAAATACGTTGACGGCATATTACAAATACATGATAGAATAACAGTGTGTTAGACATTCTCGAAGAATCTCAAGTTTAATTATAACAAAACTATAAAACAATTAAAAAATTAAAAATAAAATCAGAACGCGAAACGAAAAGATTATTAAAATCGATTAAAACAAAGTGAGAAAGAAGCAGACAAAGAGAGAACAAGCAAATGTAGTGGGAAATCACAACACGATGGGGGAGAATTCGCGAGTTTGGCAATTTGAGGTCCTGTTCGCAGCTGGACCCTGCTAATGATTTCCTGATGACAGCAAGGATTAAGTGAAAGAAATATAGAGTTCTGCAAGGAAATGGGAAATTTATTGAAATTATTAGTCAAGTGAAATGAGTTGTGCAAAAAATAATCCCATATTGGCAAGTCGAACAGATGAAAGAGATAATAAAATAAGACAAGTGAAGAATCAATATATCCGGTAATCAATCTATGCAAGAATGCAATCCCGAGGATTTGGTTACTAATGTAAATTATGATTACTAATTGAAACACATTTGGTTCCCATCTACATACATATTTTTAAAATACCTATATCTATATCTATATCTATATCTATATCTGCATTAAAAAAATATATATATATATATAAAAACACATTAAATATATATTATAAGAAAACTAACGAAACTAAAAATATATTTAGTGAAATTATAAATAAATAGTATAAGTTATATGTAAAACTTTAAATATTTGATAAGAAATTGGTAATACTAACTTTGGGAATTGGACAACTTTTCGAAATACCATCATTGCATACAACTTTTGGTTACATTTTGATTGGACAACAGACGGCGTATTCCAAGTGGGCCCAGCGAGACCTAGCACCTTCGATAGCCACCCGTCGAAGCACTCCAGTGCATTGCCTGACATTTAATTGCTGGCCATGCTAGGCTGATCCGCTGCAATCGAGGGCCAACAATTAACACGAGTAGTTAAAGTTCGCTCGGGCCCACCTCTGTCGAATTCCCTTAAACCCTAACAGCAATAATAGCAGCAATAGCAGCAACAACAATAGCACGTAGCAGGGCAGCAACAACAACAATTGCAACAAGAGCCACAAAGTTGCAACTTTAACTCCAACTTTGGCTGCATGGCCAGCGGCATCGGCTGGTTGGTTCCACTTGTTGGTTGTTATGGATATATGAGTCCTGCTTTTGCTTTATTGATTATCAGCGAGCTGTGCTCGTTGTTGTTGTTGTTGTGTGGTTGTTGTTGCTGCATTTGGTTGTGCTTGTTATTGATTGCAGCAAGTGGTGCAGGACCCCCTCTGTTGCCATTAGAAATTGTAATTAGCCAAGTTAGCTGTAGCCACAGTTGTTGTTCTTGTTCTTGTTATTGTTGCTGTTGTTGTTGTTGTTGTTTACATGCAAAGGGGCCACGGAGCTTGTCTTTAAAGTTCAAGCGCTCATATTTTGTACAACTTCATTGAGTTACATAGCAAAGCAAGTCAGCGCTTGTAAAACTTCTGAGAAATTGCTCCAACGCCATAGACATAGATTCATCCAAGGCAAAATCTGAATACCGAGGAAATGTATGAAGTTTTTGCTGATTATTGCCTTAGGCTAAGCTTATATATAGCTGAAATTTGATTAAGTTGAGATATAGCAAGAAATGGAAGTCTTAATATCCTTGACAAAATTAGAATTCAATTGGAAATGTACATAATTTGAACAATATATTTGATTAGCTTAAACTTGCAAAGAAAAATATCAATAACAAAGATAATAATAGGTTATAGCGACTCAGTGCCTAACTTTAAACTAACTTTCGAGTTCTGTTTTCACAATTATGATAAATGATTTAGTTGCTTTCTGTTCGGTAAATAGCTTCCCACATAGCAATAAACGTATATTTTACAAATGAACTTCTCCCATTGTAAACCACAATGCCGCGCCTGACATATGTTTCCACGTTTTCGGGAGGGTCAGCGGACCAGCGGACGAACGGGCTAACGGG